CCACGGCGGGGGAGACCACGGCGGCCACGGCGGGGGAGACCACGGCGGGGACGGCCATGGCGGCCACGGCGCGGACGGCCATGGCGCGGACAGCCACGGCGGCCACGGCGCGGACAGCCACGGCGGCCACGGCGACGGCGGCCACGGCGGCCACGGCGGGGGCCTCGGAACCCGCGCCGCGGCGGGCCCATTTTGGGGGGAGTTCCTTTTCCTCCATCTCCTCCTCCTTCTCCTCCTCTCACTCCTCCTTATTATCCTCCTTCTCCTCATCCTTTTCCTTTTCCTCCTCCTCCTCCTCCATTTCCTCCGTAGCCATTTTGGCTCAAGCCAGTTTGGCTCAAGTCGCCACCGCGTGCTCGAGCGTTGGTCGGGGGAGGCCGCCACTCGAGGCCCTCGAGACGCCCATTGGACAGGGGTCCCCTGCTTTTCGCTATACACGCATTTTGCCTCTGTACACTGTATCTGAAGCCTGAAGGTCTGCTCTTCCTCAGGCCGCCATGGCGCAGGAAGCCATGAAGACGATGATGGCGGAGCTGCTAGCCACCAACCGCGACGAGATCCTCTCTTCCCTAAGGTCGGAGATGAGAGAAAGCGCCGGGGTCATCCAGAACCAGGTCACCGCTCAGGCAGCCCAGCTGGCAGAACTCAAATGATCCATCATCGCCCTGTCGGAGAAGACCACGCAGACCGAGAGTGCCCAGAGCACAGCCGCCAGCGTCGCCTCGCTAGCACCTAGCCGACCCGCTGCGCGTTCGCTGTCCAGCGACGGAGGCAAGGCCAGACGGTTCGACCCGATCGGCCTCACACCGGGCGGGGGCGCCGACCCGTGCCTAAAGTTCGGAGGCGCCTTCCCTCGGCCGCTGCTAAGGAAGCCGCGTGAGGCCCACGGCCTGCAGCTGAAGCAAACGATATCAGAGGAGCCCGCAGATGACAAAGCCGAAGCCATCTCTCATGCCGACAGCCAGGTGTACAAGCTGAAGCTTCACTCCAAGGGTGTAGCCGACTCGTTCGTCAAGCGCGCCAACAAGCTGTCCATGCAGTGGCGCGATTTCCGTGACGGTTCCGTCCACTCCCTGCAGGTGCGGGGGGACCTCCCGTTCCGCGTGCGGCAGAAGAAGCGAGCCTTCGCCGCCGTGCATACGCCGATCCGCGAACTACTACGACAATCATCCATTTGGGACGCGGACACTAAGCTCGGGGTCAACGGCCACAAGGGCGTCCTGCAAGTCATCACGCAGTCCGACGTCTACGAGTTGCTGGTCGCCAAGCCCGTCACCGAGGACACGTTCTCCTTCGTACCGGCGCTGCGCAGCTTCGAGGCATGGGGTATCTCGCATGCGCAGATTCAAGGAATCCTGGAGAGCGACTGACAGGACGCTCCACGGGAACATAGCCATCAATTGAGCCAGGCCGAGGTGGCACCTCCGCCTGGCGCTTCTGAGTGCCGCCACGATGCCTCGCAGTCTGCTCTGTCTTTTTTTCGGCTCCGCCTCAGGCCTCCAGGAATTTGCGTGGCCGCCGGGAGCTCTCCAGCGCCCCTCTTCTGCCCCCTGCTCCTCCCCTCCTGTCGCCAGCCAGTGTTTCCAGGATTTCCCAGGGCCTTCGGATCCTGCGCAGCCCCCTCACGCGCCCTTCCTTCCCTCCCGACCCCTCCAGATCACTACGTGGAGCTCTCGGGCTCTTCTGGGCTCCCTTCATGCTGACCAACATCGTCAACGGCAACAACATCGCAGGCTTCAGTAGCTACTAAGATCGAACGACACTGTATGCACACAGGAATCTAATGGGGCCCCAGGTGATCTTCCCAACCTCCAACGTGACTGTACATGACATCCGCTTTTTTGGATCTTTCTGTTCCCGTGCAATCGCTGTAGGTGTCCTCATCTTCCTCCCCACAGGCTCGTGCGCGACTTGGCATAAATCAGCGTTGTTGGACTGGTGCCAGGGAGGATTGGTTGCTTATCGCTGGTGGGGGCTAGTGGTAGCCTACAAATCGTCAGCATTCACGTAAACCCTGATCTATCCGAGCTTTTTGCGCAGCCAGTTCAGACTCTTCCGCCGCGCCCTGAAGCCCGCTCACCTCTCCGCGTCCTTTGTCCTCGGCGATGTTAATTGCCGCGGGCAGGGTGAATGTAGATTCGATGATACGACGGGTGTTGAACGATCTGCGCCAGCCAGTCTTGCCAGGGCCTTCAGTTCGTTTTTCCTGGCTTGGCCGAGCTCCCCGAGGACTCCTTCACCCACCAGCGCATTGTTTCCCTTCCCTCTCCTCCTTCCTCATGCGCCAGACTTTACAGGATGTACACCTCGCCCCCCGCAGCCGACATTCTCGATTTCGCACCAGTGAGTGGAACCACCTGGGCGATATGTGACATGTCGGCCCCTTCAGGTCACGTGCCGGCCCACCTGCATCTGCGGCCGTGGACGCAGCCGAATGGAGAAGTATGGCTGCCACCCCGGGTCTTCAAGATACCCAATTATGCTCGTCACTTCGAGGAGCCCGCGGATGGCCGGGAACTCAGCCCCGACCCCCCCCCCGCACCAAGTTGCCAGAAATCGCGGGCGCGATGATTGCCGCGGGACAGAAAGGCAAAGCTGAGATGTACGAAGCCGAGGCCAACACTAACCCCGAGAAAGTTGCCTGCAATCTTCGGCTCGTTCGAGCACACCGTGCGGATCTAGAGAAGAGCATCTGCTCTGTTCTGCGTGCTTACCCCGTTTTGGTCAATTTTTACGACGGCGAGGTTCGGCAGCGGATCGACCGCGCAGCCTTTCATCGGCACCTTGGCCATCTCATGAGGAGGGGCACCAACGGCAGGAGGAGGATATTCGCCCGGCAGCAGGCCAGAATGTTGACTTTCACATTGCGGGTGTTCGTCGGGTTGCAAAGGCATGGGCCTCCAGCCAGCGCGCTGTCTCCCTGCGCGGCATTATCGGCCCTGGCGGTGTTGCCAGCTTCGGCGCCGGCGCCTGCGCAGGACACCTGGGCGAACAATGGGGGGGGGGGCGTTTGGTCCTGGCTCCGAAAACCGATCGGTGCCCGAGGAAGTTCTCCGCCTCGCCCCCCCCGATCCCCTCCGACCCCCACCGATTCGCCGACTCCGCCCGCCGGGGGTCCCCGCGGGCCCTGACGTTCGACCAGTTTTTAGATCTCCTTCACAGGAGAAAGGATTCCGCCCCAGGACCCGACGGCTTGCGCTGCACCGCTTGGAGAGCGTCCGGCCCCACGGCGCAAGAGAGTCTATGTGAAGTTTATCAGTATTTGTTGGCTGGCTTCCCATGTCCGAAGGTTTCAACGAGGCCAGAGCTGCTTCCCCAAAGGCGACATCCCGAACCCCGACCAGGCCACCAAGAGCCCCGAAGAGACCCGACCGACTGCGCTCTCGAACACCGATAGTGATCTCATCAGCAGCATGGTTGCGAACCCGATTTCCGAGGTAGTGCCTGACAAGGCACGTGGCTAACAGCGAGGTTTTGTGAAGGGTAGAAGTAGCATGGGCAATGTCGCGGCCGCCGATTTCAACCTGTTTCATTGGGGTGCTGTCCGCGGGCTAGATCGACCTGTTCATGCTTCTTTGACTTCCGCGCAGCCTTCCCGTCGACATGTCGCTCTTGGATTTACCGAGTACTGCGAGCCTTTACTTTCCCCGAATTCATGATCGCCGCCATCCAACTGCAGTTGTCCAATCCTCAATATACGATATGTTTCCGCGGGCCTCAGCAGCACTCCTTCCTGGCGCTCCGCGGGGTTAAACAAGGCTGTCTGTTATCGGGGGTACTGTTCGCGATCTGCCTCGGTCCGCTCCTCGGGCTCGTCGATATTATTCCAGCCCCGCTGCATGTCCAGATTTGCGCGTTCGCCGACGACGTGGGCCTCACCTCTGCAGATACTTTCTGGATCCTGAAGTCGGCTGCGAAGGCCATCTGCAAGTTTGGCTACCCGTCTGGCCCCGCCCTCAACGTAGGCAAATGCGTCATAGTGCTGCATTCCGAACAATGGCTCCAGGACGCAGTTTCCAAGTTTCCGGACCAAGGTATCAACGTTGCCAGGTTCAAAATCCAGATGCACGGGAAATACTCGGGGTTCATGATTGGGCAAAACGGGCCGAGCTCATCCTGGTCACCTGTCTCCAAGAAGCTAAGAGAGAGAGGGAGAGAAAGAGAGAGAGAGAGAGAGAGAGAGAGAGAGAGAGAGAGAGAGAGAGGGAGAAATAGATGACATCGCGTCAAGCTTCTCGGGCAACGGCTCACGGCCAGCCTAGTTGCCCACAGCAGGTATGCCCCCTCAGTCGCCAGCTACGTCGGGCAAGGGTATCGACCTGACAAAGTTGCTCGCACGCTGAGCGAGGGTGTCACCAGCTGTGCACTAGCGCCCCACGTCACGCATTCCCTCCCGAGCTCTTTTGCCATTTCCGTGCTCTCTTCCTCGGCGCGCAAACTGGCGATTTGCAGGCCAGCGCCAGAGCAGCGAAGTTACGCGTGGCGGCTATTTCGAGACAGTTCCCAGTCTTCTCGGGTCAGCTCCAGGCCTCTCTTGATAGTGATGAATGCCAGGTATTACAGAGAATCGTTATTCGTTCACATGTACGAAGAGCTCCTTCATTCCCAATGTACTCCTCGGCTCCCTCCCGATATGCGCCCGAAAACCGCCCAGCTGAAGTTTCCCAAAATGAGTTGCCAGGACATTCGCAACTCCCCCATCTCGTCTGTGACTGTGATTGCACCGCGGCTCAGAAAGTGGTGCCCCAGTATCACCATCGCGCAGATTGACCGAAGCTTGATGGTCATTCTGAAGGGCGCGGAGCTGGTACCGCACTTTATCTTTGTTGTTTTCCTCAAGGCGCTGTTCCGAGGGTGGAACACCAGTACAATATATCGACAGGGAGCACTATCTTGCAAGTTCGGACGTCAGTGTGTTGGTGAGATGATCTGCTACATTACAAGTCGTTGTCCCATCCCTTGTTCGCCTACTCCACCGTCTGCCTGATCATTGGGGTCAAGAGCCTGATGCCTCCTGCCTCCCCCTCCTTCTCCCCATCGACCCCCAGGCCCTGGCCAGTGTCTTTCTTAGTTGCCATAGATTCCATCCATTCTGCCTTCCAGGCCCTGCGTTCTCGTGCTGCTTCCTCTGCTTCCTTCTCACAGCAAGCTGTTGTCGGCCGCCTTCGTGCAGTCATCCGTAGAGAGAGACGAGGCCACAAGGCCGTCTTAGAAAGTCAGTTGTGGGATGGAGCTTGTTCCCTCGGCGGGTGGGTCTCCTCCTCCTCCACTTCCTCCTCCTCCTCCTCCTCCTCCTCCTCCTCTTCCTCCTCCTCCTCCTCCTCTTCAATAGCGGGGCAAGCTGCAACCCCAACGTCGGGGGGACAGGCACTGGAGCTGGGCGGGAGGGGGGCAGCTGGAGGAGCGAGGACGCGGGGCCGCTGTCTTTTCGAAATGGGGACCTAGCGCCACAGGACGGTTGGGAAACATCATACAGTCGGACCGAGGTATAAGATCGAGGTCGGTTCGGGGAGGGTACCTAATGTTCTCCGTGCCTGCTGGATGTTCTTGTGCACCCCGGGGAGGGTACCCCTGGACGTTCTGTGTGCCCTGGACGGCGGAGGCTCTCGTGCTCTGGGGCATGCTCTTCCGTCCCAGGTGTGACTGCATCGGCGGACGCCTTGGGCTGGCGGCCGCCCCCTCGGGCGCCCACCCGCTCCTCCCCCGTGGCCGCCGCGGCGCAGGCTCGGGCCGAAGAAAGAGGCCGCCGCGCCCCGGGCCCGCTGAAACGCAGGGCCGCGAGGGGAGGCCCCACGGCACGGCGGGCGGCCGGCGGCGGCGCAGGTCCTCTGCGCAGCACGCCCGGGCAGCAGCGACGGGGGGCGGCGAGGCGGCGCCGCAGGGAGCGCAGGCGCTCCCTGCCCGGCCCGGGCAGCCGAGGCCCCGGCCTCTTCCAGCACGGGCCCCGCGGACGCCCCGACGCTTCTTCCCCGGGGCCGGGGGGCTGCATCCCGAGGCGCGTGCGGAGGACCCCTGGGGCCCGGGCGAGGGGGCCCCTGGGGCTGAGCGTGTCCCCAGACCTCCCGTCGTGATCTCTCGACGGCGCGAGGGGATCTGGACCTTCTCCTCCTCCTCCTCCTCCTCCTCCTCCTCCTCCTCCTCTTCCTCCTCTTCCTCCTCCTCCTCCTACCCTCCCTCCTTGTCGTCCTCCTCCTCTCCTCCTCCTCCTCCTTCCCTCATCCTCCTCCTTCCTCCTTCCCTCCTCCTCCTCCCCCTCCTCCTCCTTTTTTCGTCCTCCTCCTCCTCCTCCTCCTCCTCCTCCTCCTCCTCCTCCTCCTCCTCGTCCTGGTCCTCTTCCTTGTCCCAGACATCGGATGTTTTGGTTTGCTCAATGCGGGCCCATGTGTCCCGACCCCTTTCCCCATGGGGCCAGCTTTTCATCCCGTGCACTTAGTTGACGGCCCCGGGGCTCGACGAGGGCCCCCAGAGGCCGAAACCGTCAGCACTTGCTCGTCGCCGTCGTCGTCGTCGTCGTCGTCGTCGTCGTCGTCGTCGTCGTCGTCGTCGTCGTCGTCGTCGTTGTCGTCGCCGCCGCCGCCGCCGCCGCCGCCGCTGGCCGCTGGCGTCGTCGTCGGCACCGCCGTCGTCGTCCTCGTTGCCGTCGTCGTCGTCGGCGGCGGCGGCGTCCGCGACGGCAGCAGCAACGGCAAAAGGCAACGGAAACGGCGGCAGTCGGCGGCGGCAGTCGGCGGCAGTCGGCGGCAGTCGGCGGCGGCGGCGGGTGGCGCCGGCGCTCGGAGGCGCGGCCGGCGGCCACGGCGACGCGCACGCGGCGGACGGCCACGGCGACGGGCACGGCGCCACTCGGGGGGGTCCTCCCCTCCTCCTCCTCCTCCTCCTCCTCCTCCTCCTCCTCCTCCTCCTCCTCCTCCTCCTCCTGCTCCTCCTCCTCCTCCTCGCCTCGGTCCTTCTCCTCTCCTCGCCTTCTCCCTCCCCTCGTCCCTCCACCCCTTCTCCTTGCCTCTCTTCTCACTCAGCCTCCTCTATCCCCTCCCTTTCCCCCCGCCCCGTTTTCCTCCCTCCTCGCCTCGTCCTTCTCCTCCACCTCCTCCCCTTCTCCTTCCTTCCCCCTACTCCTCTTCTCCTCCTTCCCTCCTCCTCCTTCTCCTCCTCCTCCTCCTCCCCTCCCTCTCCTCCTCCTCCTCCTCCTCCTCCTCCTCCTCCTCCTCCTCCTCCTCCTCCTCCTCCTCCTCCTCCCCGCCTCCTCCCTTCCTCCCCTCTGCCCCTTCCCGTAGCGATTTGGCGCAGGCCATTTGGGCTCGCTTTGAGTGTGGCAAGGGGGAGGTGCGCCCCCACCTGCGATCCCTGGGCCCAGCACTCAGGACCCATTGATTGTGAGCTGTTGGTGGAGCAACACCGCTGCTGTAGCTCACGTGCCTCCTGGCACAACGTCCGTTCTTTCGGCGAGCTCCTGTGGGAGCCCATGGGCAAGGCGGATGCCAAGCATTACATGTCGTGCAATGGTTGTCGCTACATGTGGAACCGGAGGTCGCTTGCTTTCTGTATCCAGTGCAACGGAACGCTCGCTCCGCTCGAGGTGCCCTGGCGTGACCAGGCGCAAGGTGTGTGGGCCTGCTGCTGATGACGATGCTGATGAGATGACGATTATGATGATGCTGATGATGATGATGCTGATGATGATGATAATGATGATTATGATGATGATGATGATGATGATGATGATGATGATGATGATGAGTATGATGATGATGATGATGGTGGTGATGCTGATGACGATTATGATGATGATGCGCATGCTGATCCTGATGATGATGGTGAAGAGTATGATGATGCTGATGTTGATGATGACTACACATATGGTGATGACGATGATGAGGCTGATGCTGTCGATGATGATTATGGTGATGATGATGATGATGATGATGACGATGCGAATGATGGAGACGATGATGATGATGCCGGTGATGATGATGGTGATGTTGATGGTGATCATGATGTTGCTGCTGATGAGGAGGAGGATGCTGCTGCTGATGATGCTGATGTTCATGATGATGAGGAGGATGCTGTTGATGATGATGATGATGCTGATGCTGATGATGATGATGATGATGATGATGATGATGCCGATGATGATGATGCCGATGATGATGCTGCTGCTGATAATGATGATGATGCTGGTGGTGATGATGATGATGGTGATGATGATGATGATGATGATGATGTTGCCGCTGCTGCAACTGATGATGATGATGCTGATGATGCTGCTGCTGCTGATGATGATGATGATGATCATGATGATGATGATGATGATGATGATGATGATGATGAGGATGAGGATGATGATGATGACGCTTATGGTGGTGGTGCTGGTGGTGAGAGGAGGAAGAGGAGGAGGAGGAGGAGGAGGAGGAGGGGAGGAGGAGGAGGAGGAGGAGGAAATGGAGAGGGAGGCGCTGTTGCCAAGAAGAAGAAGTTCTGCTGCGTCTGACCCGTCGCCCGCGGCCTCACGGTGTGCTCGACCGCCGCAGCCCCGAGCCCCGCGCGCGCGGGGCCAGGCGACTCGGCCAAATGTGCCCCAGGCCGCGGGCTGGGGCCCGCTTCCCCAGCAGTCTCTGCTCTTCCTCCTTCTCTCTCCTCCTCCTCCTCCTTTCTCCTCCTCCCCTCCTCCTCCTCCTCCTACCTCCTCCTCTCCTCTTTCCCTCCCTCCTCCTAGCCCTCCTCCTCCTCCCTCCCCCTCCCCTCCTCCTCCTCCGCCGCCTCCTCCTCCTCTCCTCCTCCCTGTCTTCGCCTTCTCCTCCTCCTCCTCCTCCTCCTCTCCCCCTCCTCCTCCCCCTCCTCGTCCTCCTCCTCCTCCTCCTCCTCCTCCTCCTCCTCCTCCTCCTCCTCCCCCTCCTCGTCCTCCTCCTCCTCCTCATCATCATGAGCCCATCCGGCATCCGCACGTAGGCTGCCCACCTAAGGTCGCGCGTCAGCGCCCTCCCAAAGATCCAACGCTCCGAAAAACTTGGAGTGGCGGGTTTGGGACAAGCTTCGGCCTCCCGAGTCCCCAGCCGGACTTTGGGACCCTCAAAATACGATTCAGGGCGAAAAATCGGCACCAGGGAAGTGGTCCAGTCGGAGGTTGATAGACCTCCTACCCTGACACGTCGATTAGGGAATTGGCCGTTTTCGGTTCGCGAGAGGGCGTCGCGGCCGTCATGTTTGCGGGCCCAGGCCCGTCGGTTTCGGTCCCAGGCCGTTTTCACTAGGGGGAGGTTTATTACAGGGAGGTTCGTCCACCGCCGATCCAGGCCTCCGAGGCCCACGCAACCAAAAGACCCTTGAGCATGCCCGCGTCGCGCATAAAGAAAGTCATGACGGGGGCTTTGTTCAGTTGTCGGTCTCTGGGGGAGCCCTCGCAGTGCCCCGGGGACCGTCGAAAAGCGACTCGGGGCGGAAAGGTCCTCCTCCTCTTCCTCCTCCTCCTCCTCCTCCTCTTCCTCCTCCTCCTCCTCCTACTCCTCCTCTTCCTCTTCGTTCCACGTCCTCCTGCTTGTCCTCCTCCTCCTCCTCCTCCTCCTCCCTCCTCCTCCTCCTCCTCCTCCTCTTCTCCTCCTCCTCCTCCTCCTACTCCTCCTCCTCCTCCCTGCCTCATACTCCTCTTCCTCTCGTTCCACGTCCTCCTCCTCCTCCTCCTCCTCCTCCTCCTCCTCCTCCCTCCTCCTCTCGCCTCTTCGTTTCCCATCGTCCTCCTGCTCCTCCTCTTCCTCCCCCTCCTCCTCCTCCTCCTCCTCTCCTCCTCCTCCTCCTCCTCCTCCGCCCTCCTCCCCCCCCTCTGCGTTCCACGTCCTGTCGGGCCTCCTCTCCTCCCCCTCCTCCTCCTCCTCCTCCTCCTCCTCCTCCTCCTCCTCCTCCTCCCCCTCCTCCTCCTCGCTCCTCCTCCTCCTCCTCCTTCTCCTCCTCCTCCTCCTCCTCCTCCTCCTCCTCCTCTTGGGGCGTTCGTGAAGCAATGCGCCTGGGAGGCCTCAGACCCTGAAGGATTCCTTGTCTGACGAGGGCGGCGGTGGTATCCATGGCCAGCCCACGATTGGGGTCCCACGGGCTTCTAGACCCTGGATTCCGAGGCGGGAGTTTATACATGACCACCACCTGGAGGATCAATGTTCGCTCGGCTGGCGGTGGATGTGGACATGTTCGGGCCCCCGGGGGCCAAACTATATACCCATATCCGCCGCCCGCTGGGGCACCAGGACGTCGGTTCCCAGGCGGTGGACAGGGATAACTCCCCGCCTCGCATGGATTCCTTATCCGATGGTTCCTTATCCAATGCCTTCACCGTACAGTGCCGTTTTTAATACATGCTCCGCGTGCGGATCATGTGTTAAAGATGCAGGGCTTTGGTATTGAAACCAACGATGAGCTCATGCATAAAGTTATTCGTGCATGAATCATGTATTAAGCATCCTATAGGTTTAAAGATCCTATGTATCAAAAACTGCCCTCGGTTAAAAACATCCGGGTGTCGCATGTCTGGGCCGCTCCCCGCTTGGTGTGCCGCGCCGGCGGCCCGCGCAGGCCGCGGCGTTGGTCGCCGTGTCGCACCGCGCGAGGCCGTCTTTTCACCGCCCACCAAACCACCCCGACCTGGAGGGTCTCGCCGAAGGGCTTAGGCGACCCGTGCTCCTCCTCCTCCTCCTCCTCCTCCTCCTCCTCCTCCTCCTCCTCCTCCTCTATCTCCTCCTCCTCTATCTCCTCCTCCTCCTCCTCCTCCTCCTCCTCCTCCTCCTCCACCTCTCACTTCTCCTCCTCCTTCCCCTCGCTCCTCCTCCTCTCCTCCTCCTCCTCCTCCTCCTCCTCCTCCTCCTCCTCCTCCTCCTCCTCCTCATATCTCCTCCTCCTCTAATCTCCTCCTCCCCTCCTGCCACCTCCTCCTCCTCCTCCTCCTCCGCTCCTCGGGTCGCCTACGGCCCCGGGGAAAGCGTGCATTTTCACCGCCCACCAAGCCACCCCAACCCAACCCGAAGGGCTCGATTTGCCCTCCATTTCGAGTGGGGGGGGGGTCGGGGAACATTGAAAAAACACAGATGAAGCCCGTACCCCCTCCTACGCGGAATTCGGGTCTCCGGGTTGGGTTGGGGTGGTCTGGTAGGTAGTCACTTTTATTTTCGTCGGCCATGCGAGGCTTTCAAGAAAGGGCCGTCGCCTTGTAGGACCGAACGAGTTGCCATACCTCTTCCTCGGCGGAAGGCGGTGGAGGGCCGGCGGAAGGCGGTGAAAGTTCACAGGGGGCGGCTCCCAGAAGCTCTGCGGAAGCCGGCGGAAATTAAGATCGGCCCCACAAGGTTGTTTGGTCCAGGCTTTTCATATTTATGCTTTGTAGCTGGCTAGGGGGCTGAACCCTGATTTCAGATCCGGCGTATTGGGGTGGATTTTCCGTTGTAAAGTTGCGTCGGAAATGCACGCCACATTGTCAACGAATGAGGTCGACAGTTTCAAACCTCAGGAAAGTAGGGCGGAGATTTCCGCAAAAGCATGGTGGAAACAGCGACGGCAAAGTAGGGCGGGCATCGTCACAACAGGAGCTCGAAAAAGCAGGGCGGAAATCTCCGCCCTACTTGCGAGAAGTCGCCCAGCAAGCGAGCTGGATCCGGAGTCAGGGGACCCGGCCAGCAGAAAGGAGGGATGAGGGCCTGAACCCTACACCCTGAACCCTCAAGAAGGTCCGGGGAACGACTCTGAGCCAGCGTGTCCTCTCGTCCCCACCTCTTGACGGTTCTCCCTGAAGGTCTGGGGAACGATTCTGAGCCAGTGTGTCCTCTCGTCCCCACCGCTCGACGGTTTTCCCTGCGGTCCAGCTCGGGCCCCCCGGCCGCCTCCCCTGTGGGCTTCTGCCCGGGGAAGATGAAGCGACATAAGCCCAAGAGCGAAGAGCTCTCCGCGGGATTCCTGGACCGCCGCTGGGGCCGCCCAGCGGCGCCTCTGGCGCCGCCCCTGGCGTCGCCCATGGCGCGCTCCGCGCGCCAAGGTGGGGAGTCCAGCGCCGATCCAAGAAGTCCGCTCGGACCTTCCAAGGCTTGGGTTTGTGCTGCAGCTTCCCCTGATGTGGGCGGTTGCGCCGGCAGCTATCGGTCTATTGACGTGCCCGCGTAATTCGCCTTCCGTGCATTGACCTGGTGGCACCGAAAGGGCTGGTGACATCTCGCATGCGGTCCGCCCGAGCCAGAAGGCTGGTGCACGTGTTTCAATGACGCAAATGAGCTGCGGACCTGGAGCTGGAGGGCCAGCGTGTGGATCGAGGGGAGGGCTGCTGCTGCTGCTGCTGCTGCTGCTGCTGCTGCTGCTGCTCACGGAAGGCGTTCCGGCAAGGGCCTCGCCTTCGGCGCAGCTCGCCCTCGGCGGACGCCGGCGGAGGGCTCCAGACCCTGACTCAGGATCCGCCCTACTTTGGGGAAATTCGTAAGTGGGGCTTGGAATTTCCGCCTTACTTTGCAAGCCCCGCTGATGCCAATTTCCGCCCTACT